ATGCAAGAACAATGAAGTCTGAGTCATTTTGAGACAGTTTGTGGACATTTTGCAAATTAAGCATTTACTTTATGATTGTTAGATTTTATTAACAAGTCCTGTAATTTCGTATTAAGTAGATTTCCATTACCAGAATAGGTTTTATGGAGATTTTTAGAAATTTCACTGGTTGAAATCATGAGTCAACAGAACGTAGATCATCATGGGGAGCCTGGAAGCACTGGACTGCCGTTTCGTCCTAGTATGGGGCTCCTCAGCAATGCGCATCCACGATCCCGCCTCCCGCGAGATTCGATTGTTCCCTACTGATGTTCGTGTTCACTACACTATGACATTCATAGCATGATGACATCAGGTATTAGTGAATACTTGATAAGGTCAAAATGTGACTCAATACGAATAAAATAGTTGGTCTGTTCAGAAGTTTTAATAACCCAGGTAAGCTTGACATGGCACTATACACTATGACTTCAATACAGTGGTATGCATCTCATTGTTAATAGTCTTAATTTTGAGGCTATGTGAAAGTTTTCAACTCATCTAGAAAAGCTATGGATGAAGAACATATGGAACTCAAAACAACCGTCTTCAAACTAACATCATAATCTTCAATACGAAGGTCAAGATAGTTCTACTAAAAGAGGCTAGAACTATTTGAAAACTGCTGCAACGATAATCAAAAATGTTCACGTGTTTATAAACAATCGTTTTCGTAAGATACTCAATGTCCATTGGTCGGATACCATCAGCAACAGCCTACTGTAGGAGAGAACAAACCAGTTTCTAGATGAAGAGGAAATTAAGAAAGGACGATGCAGTTGGTGGATAGGACATACATTACAGAAATCACCAAACTGCATCACGAAGCATGCACTGACTTGGAATCGTGAAAGGAAACGGAAATGAGGAAGACTGAAGAACACGCTATGTCGGGAATTGGAAGCAGACATGGAAAGGATGAATAGCAAGTGAAAGAACTGGAAAGGATTGTCCAGGACAGGGTTGAATGGAGAATGTTTGCGAGTGACCTATGCTCCTCCACGAGAGGTAACAGGTGTAAGTAAATAATTAATGTCTTAAAATGAGGCAACGGTTTAAATAGATCCATAGAATGTTTCACTGCTCAAAAAGATCAGTAACACTATCTCTATCTACAACTTAGCGATACAGTTCCGATTCCTTAAGAATTATGAGACCTCACATGAATATCGACATGGTTTATTGATAAGAACTCATTGGCACAAATCTGAACCTATGAATACCTATTTGTTTTTAGCCAACTAATACTGAGTTTAGTAATTATAACATGATTTCAACCACTTAATGCTGTAAATTTCGTAAAAAACTGAGCACGTTAATCAAACAAATTCATTTTCAATATTCACATTGTTATCAAATATAGAAAGAGCCTACGATATCTGTATTCCTCATATACTTACTTACTTACTTACTTACGCCTGTTACTTCTCTTTGATGAACATAGGCCGCTCACCAGCATTCTCCATCCAACCCTGTCCTGGACAATCCTTTCCAGCTCCTTCCAGTTGTTATTCATCCTTTTCATATCTGCTTCTATTATCCGACGTAATGTGTTCTTTGGCCTTCCACTTTTCCTCTTCCCATCAGGATTCCAAGTAGGCGCTTGCCTCATGATGCAGTTTGGTGATTTCCGTAATGTATGTCCTATCCACCAACTACATCGTCTTTTCCTAATTCCTACTTCAGTTGGAAGCTGGTTTGTTCTCTCCAACAGAAGGCTGTTGCTGATGGTATCTGGCCAATGGATGTTGAGTATCTTGCGTAGACAACTACTTATAAATACTTGCATCTTCTTGATGGTGGTTGATGTAGTTCTCCAAGTTTCAGCTCCATACAGTAGAATTGATTGCCTTGACGTTGGTATTGAAGATTGTGACTTTGATATTGGTTGAGAGACAGTTGTTTTGAGTTCCTTAGTTATTCATTTGTAGGAATGCGGCTCTTGTCTTGCCAATCCTTGCCTTTATGTCTGAATCCGATCGTGCTTGTTCATAGATGATGCTTCCTAAGTACGTGAAGGATTCTACATGTTGCAGAGTTTCGCCATCAAGTATGATTGGGTTTGTGTTCTCCATACTGTATTTGACGACCTTGGTTTTCCCCTTGTGTATGCTGAGGCCTACTGATGCGGAGACTTCTGTTACACTGGCTGTCTTTATTTGCATTTGTTTGTGTGTATAGAATAAGAGGCTTAGGTCATCTGCGAAGTCCGCCTGTAGCTCTTCTAGAATTACTGCCGGTCTCAAACCCGTATAGAGGTGGAGTGTTGAACATGGGGTTAGCGACCCTATCCCTATCCTAAAAAACACTAACCAGAAAAAAATATTCCCCACATAACCAAACATTCATTATAACCTAGTTTAATACTTATTCATTGTTAGAAAAATCTATATTTATTTGAAAATAAATAATATCCACTTAAATAGACATAGAAACACTAAAAGAAAACAAACTTTACCATCTTTTACCTTAATTCAAATCATCAGTTATATTCTATGAATAAGTAAAATAAAGGAAAAAAGAAAAAATGAACAACAAGAAAATCTTTACGAAATAAAACAAGAAATTCTTTCTTTCTTTTTTTTTTTTGATCGTATATCTGTTCAAAGTAAACGTTGAAAGTTAGTTGAGAGGTGGAAAGTGGTAGATAATAGAAAATATTTTAAAAAAAAAAACTAAATAAATATTCTATGAATAGTTGATATATAGAAAATAGAGGAGGGGGGGGAGAAATCTATCATCCTATCATATTACTTTCCCTTATTTATCATGTCTCTCTCCCCCTCCACTCCCCATTCTCTCTCTTTCGTTTGTATTGTTACCTATATCAAATACATACACATATATATTTATGCATAAATCATGTCACAATTCCGAAAAAAACTTTTACTAATTTATTTCTTATCTTATAGACCGATACCTATAATTCTGTATGTACAATTACATACGTTTATATATATATATATATATATACCTATACAATGATGATTGTTCAGTTGTGTAAAACAATCCTTCATGAAATATAGGATTCTGAACAAATAATAATAATAATTGACGATGGGTCAAAAAATTGGAGCGATCAGTAAATGGTAGCACAGTAACAAAACAAAACAAACAAAAAGAAATAAATAAAAGAAAAGCTTTGATGGAATCTAACACTTCTGTCTGAAAATATAGATACATACCATTAGATACATACAATAACAAAATAGTATTAATGATTCATTTCATAAGATCAGAAAGTATTGTGTGGTAACGTAATACTAAAGATAATTTTGTAATAAATAATTGATACTGCATACATAATATAAATGATGGGTTACTAATATTGTGAATAAAGTTAAAAATGGAATTAACTTGATCGTTCATAAATTTTTATTCAATCTATTCTATCCACTTACATGATTTAGCTTCAATAGTAAATGGATTTTAAAAAATTTTGTTGAAACTAATATGATTTATTTAAACACATAGATATTGGTACAAAGAGGCACCGAATCCATATACACCACACAAGTCACATGATTTGTATGAGGGCCGGGATACTGTTCGGGTGTCCAGATGGAAGTAGGTGGTTTTCTTAGGAGATCACATCTGGAGACTTTGACCTAAAGGTCTGATCCACAAGACAGTGGAATAACGTTAGGAAATGCAGACCCATGATAACCGGAAATCAATAATTGATTCATACTCCATTTGTTCCGTCAGGATCCTGGAGTGCATGTGCATTCTTGGTTTGGAATCAGGGTTTTCCAACCAACTCCGGACATTCGCTTTCCGTCCTCCCAATTTTGTAAACAACACTCCCGCTACAAGAGGTCAATGAGTTGGACTTCCCTGGCGGTGGTTTTATGCTAAAATTAATTTTATATATACTAAAAATCGATTGCTCATCTAAAATACATCATTATTAAAATCACCAATTAGTATATCAGAATAGTCAATCAAGTATATTCTGTTGCTTTCACATTCTTATATACTCAAACATTCACATCATTATGTGTATAAGTTACAAGATCACAATGTGTCATGAATGACAGGTGTTACTAAGTACAATTTATAGTACATTTGTGATGTGAAGTTAAGAAATAAGTTTATAGTTAATCAAGTGTAATTTATAAATGGGGAAAGATATTGAACGAGTAAGTGAAAGGAATGAAAGCATACAACTACAATGTAAAAGCATCATGAACTGCTTTCGGTGAGACTATAATGTATGGACGACCTTTGAGCAATGCCAATGTGACGTTCTGAGTGTCTACCTACTTACTACTGCTAAATGAGGGTTATAAAGCAGTTTGAAGAATAAGGATTATGATTCACAGTTGATGATTGGGGTCGGGGATTAAATTTACGGTTTTTAATCACAAACTGACATCATCTAAAATACTAAGACGCAATATGGCCAGATGGATGAGTGAATTTCGCGCCAAAATTCGAGACCTGTTATCTTATACCTGATTGGTTCGTCCATAAATTATAGTCTAGCAGTAAATAACTTAAAACCGATAAATCAACTGAACTGCATTTGGTAAAATATTTATTGGTGTTACATGTCCATCTTATACTGTGATTTTCCTAAACTACTATTAAACAGAAATCAGATTCAATAAGTTAAAACCTACAAGTTAATCTTAAGTAGTTAGGGTAAATCGTCAGGAAGGTCCGACTTCGTTTTCGTATTAGTTGGTACTCTTTGATAATCCTTAATTGTAATCTTGAAGGGATTACTGCTCTATTTGTTGTTCGAACAGGCTTTTATTTTTAAATGTCAAATTTAAAATTATTATTCCCAAGATATTCCAGTTGTCACTTTGACAATGACTGAATTGAGTGTTAACTTCGCAGACATGTCAATCCCCTTAAAATAGTATTTGTCCTTCTTGAGCTAATGCTAACTAGCCCGAAATTCCAAATCTGGGGCTTCCTATCGATTTTATTTAATCAACTAATACTTGAAGATGGAGTCTGTGGTGTGTAATCATGGTGAAATACGATTTATGATGTCCTGTCAGCATCAGGGATTAATCAGATACAACTTTACTCATTACTCAGAACACAATCAACGAAGACAAAGTAATAAAGCTACTCATAAAATTAAGGCAGATACTACAATTAAATCTGTAAAAAGTATAGCAATTCCCTGAGCAAGACGTGAAAGACCAACGTGTGCAATTTCTCGCAGTATTAAAGGCACTGTCATGTGATTTCATCAAGTGCATTACACCCAGTATTTTTACTGGTGATGTTTACCAACATTATGACACTTTAAAAAAATGCTGTCCTTAAATGTGGAGACGTAAACAATCGACAAAGGTTAGGCAAGCTTTTCCACAAAACAGAATTCCGACACGGCTCAGCATCAGAAATGTTGCTATATATGAGAGAGGTCATTGGTCAACAAACCTTTGACGATGGCTTGTTTAAGTTGTTATCCTTGTCTAAGATTCCCCAATAGGTAAATGAGGGTCTTGTTTCATTCCGAAATCACACCGTAGACGGACTCATTGCATCTGTTGACCGGATTCGAAAGATCACCATAGCCCCAAGCACCGAGGTTTATACTCTCACAAAAGGAAAACGTCAAACGGCACAAAATAATATTGCAGATCTTCGTAGAACTCTCACTTCATTTCCTAACACTCATCGTAATCTATGACGTTCCAAAACTTTTAAGGAAGTCATTCATGAAAGGGATTTATTTCTAGGCCTAGAGAAGCAGATGAGTCTGATTGGTGTTGGTGCCATAACAAGTATGGTAAGTCTTCTAGAAATTGAAGGATATCCCGCAGTTTACCCAATCTTAAACCTTCTGTCATGAGAAATAATTCAGGAAGCCTTTCCACCAGCATGGGTAGATAGCATCCGTAGCCTGCGGACATGGTCGTTCGTTACAAGTTACTGATGTGATGACCAAAGTTCGATATTTCACCATCCAATCAGGAACTCGACATTTGACTTTTCACTTTCTAGATGTTACTGGCAAAACTTCTAGTGAAAGCTGATTGGATAATATGCTTTACAATGTTTTCAGAACCTTTCTTGGCTTTTTTCGAGGGGTTTTCTGGATCTCCCCGACAACATGTATGTGTTTTGTGTTGAATATATTACCATCTACCTAGCCTAAGTATGTTCTTCAGAATTGTGGAACGTTATGCTGCTAGTTGTCACAACAGGACGAGTCATTGTAGACTATGTTGTGAATTCGCGTAAGATCTTATAGATTTGCCTGTCATATGACAAACCTACAATTTCGATATCAAGTCTGTAGCGGTAAATAGATCCTTAAAGTCATTAGCTCTGTAAGTCTTCGATATTTGATTCTGACTACATTTGTTTTAATGGACTCACCTGGATAAAGGTGCTTGGCGACTCATGATAACCAGATCATGATTGGGAAGGCCGTGCTCAACTCCTCCTACAACCGCCAGTCCGTTTTCGATATATTGATAACCTATCAAACATATCTTCTAACCTCCTTGCTTCTGACTTTTGATTTCACTGGCTGGGCAGGATTCAATTATGGGAGATGTCATTGCTTAAAGTGTTGTCAAACTACAAATACTTGTGGCATCTTCAGTATGTTCAGCTTCGAAGATAATGTGGTAAGAACTAATATCATTACACTACTCTTTCACCAGAACCACCGTGAAGCTGGTTCAATACCAAATCGAGTGGCATTGTAGCGCACTGGAGGTTAACATTGGAATAACAAAAATCATCCCATTAGGGTCTAATACTACGACAGATATTACCTACATTAGGGAAATAATCAAACTGCATCACGAGGCAAGCTCTATCTTGGAATCTTGAACAAAAACAGAAAAGAGAAAGTTCAGAGAACTAGAAGCAAACATCAGAAGGATGAAAAGTAACTGAAAAGGATTGTCCAGGATATAGTTGGGCGGAGAATTCTGGCGGGCGGCCTGTGCTTCTCTACGAGGGTAACAGTCGTAAGCAAGTAAGTAGGTAATGTCAAGGAATAGCCTATTGCCCAAGTGTCACGAGTTCCTAATCTAACTGTATGAAAAATAATTAAATTGAAAATGATGGACTAGCTTTGGTTTTGGAGTGAAGAATTTCATAACACAGTTCTTAGTTATTGATTTGCCCTTCTAACAGTTTACAAGCAATTATTATCTATATTTCGACCAAATTCGGGTATTCTCTCATACACGGCGAATCCATTACAACGCTGAGCTATTACATTACTTGCCCACAATAACAATATATTTCTGACAGGTGGTACACGCTTTTTTTACAGACATAATCAATAATTTACGACGTTGGTTTACAGATAAAATGCTCCCCAAATAAGATTGTTAATTATACCATATCAATAATAATATATAGTAGTATATTCGTTCAGACGTATTATAGAGTTAATAATTAGGTTTATAAATTAGTAATGTACTATGAGTACACTTTTCATGACCTGTTTCAAAAGTGGCAATGCAAACTTTTTGAGACTTTTAAAAAAGCACACCAGGTCTAAAATCTTATCTGTGTGACAGAATTGTGATTCCGCTAAGTATTTGTGCAGTACAAGTGTCTAAGAATCTTCTAGTTGTTATAAAGTAAGTATAAAGGGTGCTCTGACCTTGAAGGACGAGCACGTTAGGCTTGTTTCAGGTTCGTTTCAGGCGTAAGAAATTCCACAGCTGTGCACTGAAAACGTGATGGTGAAAACAAACTAAACAAAGGAGCAGCGAGGCGTTTGGATATAAACCCTCAACAATGCGATTTGTGGTGGAATATACAGAGGTAAAGTACATTAATAAATAAAAATCACACCAACTTCTATTTCTAGTGTAAAGTGTAACTAAAATGTCTTCAGATAAGAGAGTGCAGTGATAGAGAACAATGATTCGTGGTAATTAACAAGGTTTCAATTCAATGGCGCTGTTCGGGCATGCTTATGTCTTATCTCGAATAATTGCTAATTAGAAGCCAGAAAGTGAAGATGCAATTATCACAACAGTATCATAGGAAGAGGACATAAATAAAAAGTTACGTGTTGCTATACAGGCAACATATCTATTCGCTGATGATATTAAATATTCTACGCAAAAAGATGACGGGCCGAAATATATCATTAATTGGTTTATATATAGATGGCCTATCCACAAATACAGCGAAACATTGGGCAGTCTACTCACCGACGGAGTTCCCCATCACTCGTCGTCAGGTGCCTAATGTTTTGAAATCAAACAGTCATACCTAAAATCTCACGTCATAAAGTGATATCCGAGCTGCGTACTGATAAGTCAAGGGTAAGACTAATGAAAATACATGCACGCAGCTACGTCTACTGACCGGATATTGAGGCTCAAAACGAATGATATACCGAAAAATCTTCCTCATGTGCAAAAGTCGATAGAGCATCTCGAAAGACTGAGAAGCAGAGTTTAGGAACAATGACACACCACGGTGGAGAGTGAATGTGAAATCTGCCGGACAAACAAAGCAAATGCAGCCCCCTATTATTATTAGTGCTTTCCCAAATATCCAGAGGTCTATTACATGAAGTCTAAGTCGACTAAAGCTGCCTTGGAGTTGATACAAGTATTCGGCCCCAGAAGATATAGAATACAGTACCGGACCTCAGTTTACTTGGTAATTTTCGAAGTTCAGTGGTGCCGATGCCACTAGGTATATCAAGACACCATCCTGCCACACAAATTCAAACGGGCAAGTTGAGTTTCATGGACACTCTTGGAAAAGCAGTACTTAAAGTGAAGTGGAGAAAAGTGCCATGGGATGTGTTACTAGTCAACAACCATAAGTCGTGATGACGAGTAAGTGAGAGACTAATAAAAATCATTCAAAGAAAGACTATGTGTGACAAATCAAAAATTTAATAAAACTGATACGCAATGAATGTCACTTGAAAGTCCTGTTTCGGAAAACGTCACATAAAACTGGTAAGTATTCTTCTGTGCACTTAATTCGTGAAGAAAAGTATATATTCAGCAGTATTTTGGCAAGTAATTTAACCCAACAAACCCGCTCAACGAAGTTATATCGCCCTTTTTCAAGCAGCAGTAGTATCTAACTTGGTGAATGTCCGTCTTAAATCCCACAGGGTTCTAAGCCTTTTAGCTGCAACCTCGTGTCAGTTAGTCGTGATTGCAAGATCATGACTCACTGTCACCCCAAGATCCTCGTGAAACCACACCGCGGGTACAGGCACTCCGTATATGTTGTACCTATTTACCTTTGTTTCCCCAAAGTGCATATAGACGCACTTTGCGGCGTTGATAGGCATTAGCCGCCACTTGGACCAACCAGTCACAATACTTAAGTGTGCCCAAAGAGGACATAAATCTGCGCCTCCCGATATTTTTCACCAGATCAGTAACATTAGGGATTCAATCATACATAGGAGTTCATTTCAATACAGCATAAAAGGGAAGGACCGAGGAGAGAAACTTGTAGTGCTCCACAGAGTGCTGGATTCAAGGTAGAGTACTTCGAATTTATGCATACTTTCTGTCCACGACCTAACAGAAAATCTTCAAGCCATTTCAGTAGACGATCGTCAATGCCAAGATCTTCCGGCTCCAAAGACATTCTTCACTCGGATATGTAATATCATCACCTTCTGTTGATATATCCAAAGCAAAATTGGATCTCTACAGTACTACAAATTCCAAGGATTGTTATAAATTGATTTACTTCCTATCCTCATTATCGAAGGACTTAAAAAACTCTTCTCTTTTAGATTTAGTTTTCACACACGATGATGATGTTGGTCAAATGGCTTTCCTCCCACCACTAAGGAGAAGTGACCATGCAGTCATCTTATTTGAACTCATGGCTGAGATTGCCTGTCAAACAGTTGCGTCGGCCTGTCCTAATATATGGAAGGCAGATATGGAGGCAATCAACTCCACAGCATCGGCTGAAAACTGGGAAATCGACTCAAGGGCATCAGTACAAGAGGCATGGACTCTTTTCAGGCAGTTATACAATCGGTTAACCCAAACATAAATACCCTGAACAGTCCCAAAGAAGAAAAAGCACGGCCATCCCTGGATAGGCCGGGATATTCGACGCTTACTAAGACAATAGAAGAAATGCTGGGATGTTGCCATCCGCCTTGACGCAGCAGGTACGATGGAACGCTACAGATCAGTAAGAAACAAATGTATAACGAAACTTCGGGAAGCTCAAAGAAAATATCGAATGCAGTTGACACAATCTGCACTCAAGCAGCTCAAGAGGATATTCTCGTACATAAACTACAGAACAAGGATGCAACATTGGATTCCCAACCTAATTAAAGAAGGGAGTGAATCTGAAATGATAGAGGAAGATCAGGAAAGAGCAGAGGCTATGGCCGACTACTTTGGGGCAGTTTTCACTCAGGAACCTCCTCTAGAGAAAGATTCAGACCCAATTACTGAGTCAACAAACCAGCTGCTCACCGTGGACTTCGATCAAGACGATGTGCTTAAGGCTCTTAGCACTTTAAACATGGAAAAGTCAACAGGACCAGATTAACTGCACCCCAAAATCTTGAGACATATTGCACAATATATCGCGGATCCACTGACTGTGACATTCAATATGTCGCTTGACCAAGGTGTGTTACCTAAGGACTGGAATGAAGCAATCGCCAATCTAGTACATAAAACAGGACCAAGACAACTTCGATCGAACTACAGACCTGCAGGCCTCACCAGTGTTGTAGCTCTATTTCCTTCTTTAAACTCAATTCAATATTCTTCTCAATTACACAGACCGGATTTATTATTATTAATATTCTATTATTATTACTCTAAAAATTTTTTAAATATGGCAAGTATAATGCTAACATTATTGGAAATCGTGTATTATTGCATTTTTTGAAGAAACTCGAAATGGTTTCCTCACAACATTTATGTACCCATAAGATGTTTGTGAATAATAATAATAGTAATAATAATAATGGAACGAATAGTGAAACGGACTATAATGGCATTTATAGAAGCCAAAAACGTGTTAAACAGAGAACAACATGGTTTTAGAAAGGGTCTATATTGTACAACGAACCTTCCTATAGCAAGGGAGTTCTGGATAAATGCGCTAGACAACGGAAACTCAGTGGATGTCTACATAGATTTCAGTAAGGCCTTTGACAAGGTGCCAACTAATAGACTGCTATTGAAGTTGGAAAACCTTGGTATTGCCGGGCCTCTTTTAAAATGGATAAGGGATTTCCTAGTAGGTCGTAGACAAAAAGTAAGAATAAATTCCAAGTGCTCTATCTGGAGACCAGTACTTAGTAGAGTACCCCAAGGTTCCGTCCTAGGTCCTTTACTTTTTATAACGTACGTTAATGATCTTACAAGTATAGTACAGTCTCCAATGTTATTATACGCTGACGATGTAAAAATTTGGCGAGTAATAACTGGAGACAAAGACACATTTACCCTTCAGGCAAACTCACATAATATGATAAACTGGTCTAAAGAGTGGCTGATGCCTATTAACGCGGAAAAGTGTGTCTACGTGCAGTTTGAGGATTCAAAGGTTAACAGTTACAACATAGGGGATGTGCCATTACCCGTAGTCCGGTCTTATTAGGATCAAGGGATGACAGTGAGTTATGGTCTCAAGACGACAGGCCATTGCCGGAAGGTCGCAGCTAAGGAGTTTGGAACCCTCTGGGCCTCAAAACGGACATCCACCAAGTTAGATACTACCATGTTCACCACAATATACATATCCTTAGTGAGAACTAAGCTTGAGAACTGCGTTCAGGCTTCAAGCCTTTGTTTGAAATATGACTCGGATATCGTAGAAGAAGTACAGAGGGTAGCTACCCGTGCAATTCCAGAACTTCAAGGTTTACCATACAAAGAGAGGCTTGAAAAACTGGACCTTGTAGTGTCAGTTATTATGCCAAGCCCATATACCTTATTTTAGCTTTCGGACATTCCATTCTATTCGTTCTACTTGAGTCATGTTTTGACCTTGTCAATTATTCTCTTGTCAATCTTGACTGTTTTTATATGAGCGTATATGTGTGTACACTTCATACCCCATGATTCATCACATGTTTGTAGTTTATTTCGTCTGCCTATGAATATTGAGTAACGCTTAATTAAAATGGAGTTGGCTTCCCAGCCATCTTCCATAGGTGTCATTTTGCTTTGCTGTGCTTCATTCGCTTCATGTACGAAATACATGTATTCTCGAGTCAATTCTCGTTATTTGACTTATTTAATTCCGTTATTGGATAACGCGATCTAAGTCGACGATGATATACGAGAATCAGCGATAACAATCATTCGTACGATCTAAATGGAGTCAGATCAAACGGGCCACAAAAACCTCTTTACTCTGCCCTAACTCAGATTATTGGGAGATCTAATTTTGATGTACAGAATACTAAGTGATTTCGGACATAACTTGTTCTCTCTCTCTTTTTCCCACTAGATCGGGACATCTCAGAGAACACAGCAGGCAAGTAGAAAAGCCAAGAACGAACAAACTACCCGTGGCGTACAGGTTTTCACACCGAGTCATCAATAGTTGGAACCTGCTGCCCGAAGCATTGGTGTCCGCACCTTCAATTGACTCTTTCAAGAGAAGACTGGACAGTCACAGAAGCATACTAGAAAAGGAATAACATAGGCTGTAGGCCTTCTGTTCTTACTACACAAATCTGAATCTGAAGTTTGAAGTTTGAAGATTTGCACGCGGCTGTAACAATACGTGAGTTACATTTCGGCAGGCCGTTTGCTCGGCAACCTGATAAAGGTATGTTTCTCGTAACACTGCGGTTTTGAGGTATAAGCGAAGTAATTTGTTTATGCGGACATTTCACTTAGGTTGAAAGTATGTTTCAAACCTATTTATGTTAAACAGAATCAACTTATATATGTTCGGTAGGAAAATTATGGGTAAAAGAATAATAAACTGACGACCATGGGCGACTTATCAGCCAATCAAAAAGCTTTGCCTAATTATAAAACGATCATCAATGCAAATTATTAGAATGGCTGCTTTTATCTCAATAAGCAATGAATATCATTAAGAACCTAGACACACAATCTGCCTTGAAAGCAGGTATGTCACGTAATTTAGCTTGAGCACCATCTAAAATTCGCCTTGCCACTATATAAAAATATCTCCATAGATTTTAAACATTTTGGGGACCAATTGGCAGCATTTAAATACTGCCGATTCTCATTTAGTTGACAATATCATACACGTCAGCTATCGATTTCAATTTATTTATTTCCTTCTTTAAACACAAACAATGGTAGAAGAAGGCACCAAACAAATATACGCCACATAATTCGTTCGGTCTGTGTGAGGGCTGGAATACTACTGTCCAGGCGCCCAGACCGAAAGAGGTAGTTTCCTTAAGGGCAACTCTCCGGGCCCTTGACTTAGAGGTCTGATCCACAAGGCAGTGGAGTAACGTTAGGAGATGCATTTCCATGGTGGCCAGTGGCCAACAATAGGTTCATACGCCATTTGTGTCCTTAGGGTCCTAGAGCCCATCTGCACCATCGGTTTGGAATCAGGGTTTTGTAACCCCCCTAGGTGAACGATTTGTGTCCACTGACCCGGTTAAAGCGCCAGACATTGACTTTTCGTTCTCTTAGTCCCGTAACCAAACTCCCACGCAAGAAGGTAGTGAGTAGGAATTTCCTGGCAGTGATTGTATACGCATGGTCATGTTCGAGCATTTCGAGATGGAGATCTGACTCTCCTCACTCTCGGCCGTACCAGTGCATTTGCGGGCTATCACCATAGTGTCCAGTCCTTGGTAGGTTTGCGTCTGACCTAGTGGTACCTTGTATGATGGAGTGCTGAGGGCAGCAAGTGGAAATGATGAGCTGACGACTCAGTAAGCACATAGAATGCACGTACATTCAGCATCGGAAGCGATTGATAACAATGAGAAATGACACGAGCGTGAAATTTACACAATCTGATAATCGAGACAAGAGGTTGATAGTGTAAGGTTTCGGACGTATGTGCATCACCGCACTTTAAACCTTGAGCGTAATAACTGAGGTATTGTCTTAATTTCGATTGGTCAACTTAAGATCGTTTGTATATTATACTTTTACCGACTCATGTCGACAAATCTGTAAAATTAAATCACTTGAAGTCCCAGGTCTAAAGTAGAGGTTGACAGTTGTTTGTTTTGATTTTTTTCTGTTGACAAGTCATTCGGTGCTTGCCTTGTCGAAAACCACTGCTCAAATCTAGGTACATAGATTCAATCAGACAATATTAAAAAGATAGGTTTCAAAACTAGTAAAGCGTAACCGCAAACAAACTCCCTCTAAAATAAGACTAATTACAAGCTAATAGAAGCGTCCTTTGATGTAGATTACTATACATATTACCTAGTTTTTTCCCGACTGCGTTCGCATTTAAATTATCTAAGACAATCCACAAAAAGACTGGAGGACGTATTAGGAATAGATCAAATGTATAACACTTGGAAAATAACCAACTATAGGTTCATGAGCCTCCGTAGAATAACGAACAGTTCAAAAATGAGCTTACTTTATTCTCCTTAATATACCTGTTAAACTATATTGTACTGCTAACATACAAAAATTCATACTTTATTCCTTGCTAACGCATATTTACCCTTGGTTTAGTTAGTTAATCAAGTATTTGGTTCACTGGCGTTGTTAGGCTTGTGAAATGCTCATCCTCCTCAGACCTAATTTGAGCTTCCAAACATACAATAACCAATACTCCGTTGATTTGCTTGAATATTTATGAGGAGCTTAGTGTATGTTGATCGTTTTAAGCTGTATCACACAAACCATATGATAAAATAAGAAAAGAAAAACCAAACATTATCTAAAAAATAAATTGTTCCAACTGCGAGAAACAGTACACCAGATGAAATGGCCTCCGTTTTCATCTTCGTCTGTATGGAAACTATCTGACTGTCAAACGCCATGATGTATCTTCACTCACATCAATACACGTAGATAATTATGGATACACGTTCGACTGTAATAATGTTGAAGTTTTTGATAAAAGAAGACCAGAGAATTTTTAGAAGTTTGACACTCAGGCCAATAAACAATCAGTAATTAAGTTGAAGTTGACCCAACATATCAACCAATTTGAAAAAGACTATGGATAAATGTGGTATCAAAAAATCGGTCAAAGGGAGAGATCATCAGAACATATATACAGACAACGAAGGGATAAAGGTTAACAATGACCAAGTTCTACAGGACAACGTGAAGTTTGAATACAGCACTTCTACCCGAAGTTTGTGCTGATGGTGTTGTGTAGAAGACTGATCAAAACTTCACAGCTGAATCATCCAGCTCAAAGAGCAAAACTCCACTAAAAATACTCACTGATATTGATGACAAATTCACTGAATCTCATATAGTAGACAAATAGGTCGTACTGTTTCAATTCTAACATTTTTTTTACTACTGTAGCAACTGTCATTGCTTAACCAAAGAAAAAACAACTAAATACGATAATACCCAAGTAAGTGCAGTACTAAGAGCTTGCTACCTCTTCACTTCAGATCAGTCTGCCTTTTACCAGCCCCTTCAAGCAAAACTATGTCATTATATACAGATTTTCTAGTTGTGTTATGCGCTATAACATCACATTACTCTGATCACTGATCGTGGTTATCGTATTGACCTCAACTAGGTATTCTCTATCTACTAGCATGGCTCAGGCCAAGAGCCACTAACTTCATGGAATGATGTAACGTTTTAGTTTGACCACCCCGAAATTTCTTGCAACTTGCTTCTACACGAACTAACATCGTCGGTTGAAGTAAGCGGTATTTAGGGATGGGTAACACATGTAATAACCACTCTAGGCGATCAAAATTCACAACTGCATCAACCGATATAACACCGTTGTCTAATACCTTTGGTGTAACCTCAATATTACTCACTCGGTCGTTTTGGATTTTGATAACATTCAGTTTTAACAGTTATTTTAACATTGATTTGAGATTAAAGAAGTTACTTTGTACTGTACTGGTTACTCTACTTTTAAAAACGACTAAATACTTTTGTTATTTAAAACATATTGACTTTCTGTATTATTTAGTATTCAATCCAAATTAAAGAATGTTAGTTATCTCCATAAAACTGTGAACCTTAGATACTGTTCAATCTATTGAATTCGGATTGAAGCTACACAAAAATGCATCCTTGTTATAATTCCTCGTCTATGTTGTCTCCACCTACTGTCACTACTTTTCATTCATCACAGTCATTAAGTTCACCATCCCAATCAGCATATCATCAGTCCTCAACACATGATGTGTCCAAACCAAATTCAAATGAGCAGTATAACTTAGCTCATAGTCGACATCATCTTTATCAAAATGTGATTCTTCCTAGCCCATCTATACAACGTTTTCCTAATTCATCAAGCAATCACTTTACCCACTATTCGCAATCCCATATCCGAACAACTACTTCATATCCTTCTTATGACTGTTATCGGAACAATTCTACACATTCTCAACCGAATATTAGTAGTGGTTTGCCTATTATAGGCTATCCAATTGCACTCAATGCTACAAAAAATGTAAGTTGTGTCCTTCAGCTTCTTAAATAAATTATAGCTCGTATCTGTTAAGGACCGCGCTTTTTAATCACCTCTATTCAATCTGTGAACTAACCTTGACCAATCCTATACGATGGGTTGCTCTTCCTAGCTTGCATATGTAATAAAATACAACATGAGGACATGCAAAATGAGGTGTAGTACTGAGATTATTTTTACAGCTAACTGTTACCAACCAAAATATCACTAAAAGCCAGAATGCATTAAGTATTTTTCAACCTAGCTTAAAATGCACAACTTTTTGAAATTTCAAAGTCTTGGAAATTTTCATCATTTTTAGTTACTGTTAATCGTGTTATCTATTAACTAATGTTGGCCAGTATAAAGTAGTGGATTGTGTTACTGTTTACTCAGTTACCGCAGTCTATCAAATCATAATCTAAATAACACAGACGTAAAGGTTTAGAACTTGAAAAGAAATTTTCGGTTCGCCAAAATTCTAGTTACACTTCCCGATAAGTACTAACTAGCACAAAACTTAAATCAAGGACATTGTGTTAACTCTTAATCAATCAATAGAGATATGTAATGAAGATTCGTCTATTCATAAATAGCCACTTAATATTATCGGTTTGTGTGTAGGTGGATTCATTTCACATTGATATACCTCTGTTCAATAATTGTTTTCTTCATGTTTGTCATGGTTATATACATCCATTGCTTCGCTGTCAGCATCATTTATTATTTTCTATCATTTTTACCAAATAAATAAATGTCAAATCAGTTCCTTCGATGTTCAAAATTTGCTTTAGTTAAGAACTTTCTAGACTGTGTAAAGTGACAATAATCGTACCGATGATTCACTGTGATATTTTTCTTATATGTTAACCAACGTCCAATTTTCTTCAATGTTTAAAGAATATTAAACTAATTTTGATGTTTTGTTGTGATAGATATTGATAATGTTCACTATAATAGACTAGTAATTGGCTAGTTAGTTTGAATGTTAAACATGGATTCATCTGTCCATTCAGTGTATCAAATGAAGTAGATTTTTGTCATGTAAAAACAAGTGAATACATGTGTGTTTGCATTAACATTAGAAAAAAACAATTTCAGGAAAAGTAATATCAAATTGCTTAACCAAGTCATTGACAATGCTGATAGAACTTTAAAATTAAGAAGGACAAGTGATGTCTATAATCGATTTTTATAACTTTAATGAAATGATTATATTGGTAAGCCAGATTGACTGAGCTTTTGGCTAGGATCTGGGAATTGATCTGGACTGACTAGTCTTGACAACTGATCTTTCCCAGTCTATACGAAATAACAGAAATTTCCTTGTGATAACCACATGTGAATCAAACTAACGTGGCGTTTAGAATATTAACCCTAGCTTGTGAAGAGCCAATCCCTGAAAATCAGGCTGTATGGTCAAACCAAATATTCGTCCTTCATCAGGTTCTAAGACATGTTTATTAACTCTCAACCATAGTTGTTTTTCTCGACCTTAAGACAACGTTAGACTCTTTAAATCGAAGAGTTCCATGGTTAGTGTCTGTCACTGGACGACGTACCAAAGAAAACCATCAACCGTGTTCAGGTTTTCTACTTAAACTACTGGTTAAGTTAGATCTCGTAGGGAATTGTCATCAGAATTATCAACAAAACGTAGTGTTCAGTTTTTCGCACTGTTCCTTTTTATTTAAATCTGTCATAGATATCCTTCTAGATGTAACTCTCTCATCGTCTGCATTTTCAGCAAATAATGTCACACCAAGAGATTCCCTTATTGACTTAAAATACTCAGATGGCAGTCCTACTCGGTCATTCTGACAAAATAGTGTTTTCTGGCCACCTTAAGCAACAATGCAAAAGTATTTGGAATGCGATTCCCTCCTTCTAAATGTAAAATGTTGCTTCAGGACGTCTGTGTCGACGCCTGGACTGACGATAGGGAATGCCTCAACGGATTTACGTATCTTGAAAGTCTAATCAGCCCTAATTAGTTGGTATCTGATGATATCTCGTTTTTACTACTACTGATGCTTTTACTACTTCCACTACATTGGGATTCAACTGAAAAGCTTCATTCCATTGTGCTAATGCGGTTTGGAAACTTTAACCGACGCACATATATGCCAGGCTCTACGTTGCGTATAAGTGACTGACAACGCTGCAGGAGATGGTTACCGATACCTGACATATTACCGACGAGTCTACATCGGCCACCCGAGCCACTCTTCTGTTCCTAAATGCACAAGCTGCATATTGAATATCCGGCGAGTTTTACAATCTATCACCCTCCTGAAAATACCATTTAATTGTTGGTAGAACTCATCCACGGCCTCAGCCGGACTACAATTTGTGGGCTCATTAGCGGAGATCATAGAAAACAGTCGTTTCCCAAACGTCTCTTTCTTTAATGGAGCTTTCTAATCTAATAAGTGGGCGACTGTGAATTAAGATCCGATCGATCAGTGCTACCTCTGCTCTGGCGTCTAGTATGACATTAACGTCAGTCAAACCGGACAAAGATGCTACAGAGTTGTCGAATAAGTGCACATAAAACAAAATTTTCGAATCAATAAATGGATAACAAATATGTATTTCTTCAGCCCAGGGTTTCTTCTCCACTACCTCAAAATGCCTGACATCAAATCATATACTGTTTAATGTCCTGCCACTTAGACTATCTGTCACATTATAACTTAGTCGATAGAACTTGATTATTACTGAAGGACTAGACAGAAGTGACATTGATCGCTACTTATTGATCAACTTCAAACCACTTCAAATCGTTCATCGTTTCATGTAGCACATTTGTAAATGGGGAATAAACCTGTATAAAAACAATCGTAATGTATTAAACTTTTAATCGCAATCTTTCTTTGATATATTACCACCTCTGAATTAACTACCTTTATGAATCTGGTGTCCATCTTGTTGTGTTAATGAGATATGGCAACTTGGACCGATGCATATATGTGCCTGGTCCTACGTTGTAGCTGACTGACTGACTGATTAAACTTTTAAGGCAAAGTAAAGTGAAATTGTGTTCACCGTTGTTGATCTTGTTATTTAAATTCTCCTGTAAACTCCAAACAGGATGAAATACAGCTAATCTAACCAATGACACCATAGATCGAGGTTCCAGTTGCTACAATCATCATACCTGTTCATTTCTAAGCATTTTAAGAACTGTAATACTAAACACGTCATGAATACATATAAGTGTTCAAAAGTAGTGTTTGTCACTTAACAGGTTGAAAATGAATCCCTGAGATAGCGAGTTTTGCCAAATTTAGTTATATATCGCCTTGTTTTTTTCCTCGCTTTTCTCAGGAAAATAATATTTTCTAGTTATAGCTTTCACTTTTCTGTAGAACAACTTTTATGAAAATAATCTTTCATTCATTGACTTGAGCCAGATAGCTGCTGAAGGTCAGAAAGCTCTTTGAAAAGTAAATTTTAGTGAAAAGCCTTGACTGGTAGATGTTATCTATATCGGAAGTAGAACAATTGTCACCTATGTCAATGGATGATAACGGCACAATATCTTAAAAGTTGTCTATCGTTGAATGGCTTACCAAATGTGATATAAAGTGAACATCCTTGCCGTTAGGAACGGAGTTTCTGAATTTGATATCTGATGGGTCCTTAAGTGTGTTGAACTGCTGAAGTGACTTATACTAAAACGAAGCAACTTTCTAGGGTTACCGACTAGCTTTTAATGGTTTTTGTCTGACTGAACAGTTAGTCCATTTTATAAACAACCTTCATGTCGAAAAATTCCCAAATCTCTCATCTTATCGGTTTTTCACATAAGACTAACTAGTTCTTCTACTTCCTTCCTGCCTTTTCGTATTTCAAGTTAGCTACTTACTTACGCCTGTTACCCTTTGTGGAGGAGCATAGGTCACTCACCAACATTCTCCATTCAATCCTTTCCATGTCTACTTCCAATTCCCGACATTGCGTGTTCTTCGGTCTTCCTCATTTCCGTTTCCTTTCACGATTCCAAGTCAGTGCATGCTTCGTGATGCAGTTTGGTGATTTCTGTAATGTATGTCCTATCCACCAACTGCATCGTCTTTTCCTAAGTTCCTCTTCATCTAGAAACTAGTTTGTTCTCTTCCACAGTAGGCTGTTACTGTCAAGTTAACTAAATATAAAATATCAGTCTAATTTTATCTTGAGTTTTCAAAATGAAATTGAATCTTTGTTTTATTTCTCTTTCACTTCATGCCCTCAGACAATGTTTTATTTATTGAAGGGGGTTGAAGATTAGAAATGCTTGAATTGGCAAATAATCAATGTCTGTAATCTAAAATACACTATCATTTATACATGCATTTTTGTATGTATGCTTAATTATATGTGGTTATGTGTACTGATTTGTCTGTTACTGTCATTCAAATAAGATCCTTCTAGATTGGGGAAACTGAATGCATGTATATATTCATATTTTTTTAAAAAAAATCCAGTCATTTCCTGTCCTTGTCTCTTATTTCGTGATTAATCAATCAATTAGAACAAAGTATTGGCA